CCTTTGCTGCATAATTTGAATACTTTTATTCCATACTTATAGCGCTTGTTTCTTATGTACTGTCGCATTATTAATCTTCCCCTAAATGGAATAAGGGACTCATCAATGCAACAAGTCTCGGAAGGTTCATATGATGTTTTAAAATTATGTACTATTTTGTCAATCAAAGGTTGAATCTTATGCAGTCTATCATTATCTGGATTATCCTGATTATCTGCAAAATGCAACATACGTTGCAACAGTTCAAATCTATTACGTGTCATTACTTTAGAAGCTATAGATTTTGTATACATAGCTTCTCGGCTACAATAGGCTTGTATATTAGGCATTTTTACAATACCCATGTATGAAAGCAAGCCAAAAACATTCTTGATTTCATTTTTATCTGTAGGAAACCAATTATGTAACCTAGATGTACCTTTTACATCTGCTTCATCTGTAATAACTTGCGTGGCATATAGATTCGTTTGGTCAGCAATGTATTGAAAAATAGTCATTAATTCTTCACGCAAAAGCTCAGCAAGATGGGGTTCAGTACCAGTTTGTTTGGTAAAAGGGTAATAAAGCTGGTTGTCTACCTGTTGGAATACTCCATATCATATTATCCGAGGCGGCGCCGGCGTTACCAGCTAAATTGTCATCTGTGTCTGTTTTTGGCATACCTAGGCGCGGAGGCAGCACTACTTCCTTGTAATGGAGAATTTGTCCCAGAAGTAACGGATAACTCATCGTCATTGGTGTCTGCGGTTTGCGCAAGTATGGGGGAGGCAGTAGAGTTTGTATCGGAACTACCAGATGATTCATCATCAGTAGGTTCGTAGTTGCTGTCTGCGATACTATCGTCTGAAAAAAATAATAAATGCATGAAGGATTGTACGTTTTTGCAGTCTAGCTATTCTCGGAAACTCAAAAGTCTATGCGATCGATCTACGAAATAAAGAATGTTTCTTACCGTCATCCTCTAATGCAGATGCTTCATCTGACAGATTTTACATAATTCGCTCTATCTCTTCTTCTAATTCTTTCTGCGTCAAATCACGATTTATGGACATTGTAGAAACACAAACTACATTCAAAAATAATAACAATAACCGTCTATTCCGTCTGAAAATGTGTACGTACTGAAATGCAATTAGAAAGACAATAGACACCACGTGCTGACTTGAAGAAACATGTCGATTGCGCAAAATCGCTGCGGACCGAGAAATGGACCGAGTTGGCGCATATGATAAAAAAGCTACTTCCACGCCGCCTCGGTCTGTTGGACCGAGTGACAAATTTGACAATTTTGAGATGAAAATGACACCTACAAAGAAAGTAACTGCAGGTAACGTATCATAACTAATAAATTTGACTGGACAAAATGGCTCCAGGGGAACTTTTTTTTGTTTGGTCTTCTTTTAGTAGCTTTGGTGGCATAATCATAAATATTGCTTGGCAGCGAACGTGTTAAGCAGTCGTCGTCTTTGACTTGCAACAAAAATATGGAAGTAAAGGTTTACCTTAGCTCAAAGTTGACCTTAGCAAGGTCAGTCATAAGACCTAGTAATGAGAGTGTCATTGACTGTGTTCACTAACATTCAGCAGCTAAATCTCAGCATTGTCTGTTTTAACGAGTCATGTTAATTCTGAGCGATAGTTCATTTAGATAACATTCAATCTGAGCTAAAGCGTACTCTGGAGAGTGCTTGGAGTTTAGTCAGTTGGCGAGATAGTGTTATTTTTTGGCTCACCTTTCAAAGAGGGGCTGCTATTTCACCTAGCAATTAAATGGTAGGAAATTCAGAAATCAAACCCAACTGAGTGTTCCAGAAACGTAACATCCGCATTCGCAGTCACATGTTAACCACCAGGAGGCGTGTACCGTACATGCTATAGACACACCTGTCACCGATTATAATTGCACAATCAACCTTCGTCGTGCAGTTACATCGTTACAGTCCACATACCAAGTCGCATAATTTTAAGTTGAAAGGGTATCAACCTTGACTCCGTCTCTGGAACGGTGCAAACAACGTGGGCTGACTTTACCTTTTCCGCTTTCTATTTGAGCACAAAGGATTAACGTACGCAGCAAAGTGGCACATAATCAGAATGTAACCTCTGTATGCGAACATACATCCCACAGTTACCCTTACTGAAAACTTTCGAAGGTAGGTCTGCCAGCAACAGATGCATGTAGGCATTTTGTTTTATCACAATATTTCATGGCAGAGTTACAATCTGTAATTACTCGTCTAGGTATGCAAAACATATAAAGGAGTACGCCGACTCATTCATTCACTGACATATCAACGCAGAGCTTAAACCGCTGAACACAGAATCGTGGAAATTTTCCAGAGATGTTTTTTATAGAGTAAGCTAGAACTAAGAAGGAATTTTTGGAGTGAAGTAGGAGGGTAGTAGTTTTGTATGAAGCTCCGTAATCTTTCAATGGACTTTCTTGAAGGTGTATGCAAATACACCTAAAGGATATATTACCCAACATTTGTTGGGCTATATTAGGATTGGTAGTGTGAACGCAACCTTTTATTCCAATAATAGATTTACCTAAAACTTTTTGCAAACACTCAAAAGCACAGATTAATGTGAAGATAGGAGATGGTTCAAGATGGACAAATTGAGGAAACTGCATTGCCTATCTCTGGTACATAATACCCTTCTCCTTAAAGCGCCATAGTTTCTTTATACAAAGCTGCCCCTCCTCTGTCAGTGCGATCGAAGATCCTCTAGGATTAAACGCATTTTACTCATCCCGGGGCATTCGACACCATTGTTCATACTTTGTACTGGGTACCCAAACTATATAACTGCTTGTCAAGTGAGTATAAAAAATATTTGTATAGCCTAAGCAACTTTGAAAAAAAAAGAGCTTAAGGTAATCGGATTAACTTTACGCATATTCACAGATAATTGATTGTTTCCTTTTTCTGAGAAGTGGATAATATTTAAATTTTTTTTTGGCGGTCAATGTTGTGAACTGTATCATTTAAATTTAGGTACTTTTTTCTTCATAACAATATCAATTGTTTCAATGTTTTTAGGTCCGATTACGCCAATTATTTTGTAATGCTGTGACGAACAACGGACATTTATTTATTATTATAATTATTATTAAACTCCCTACTCTTTTATCCCGTTTTAATATTCACTTCTATCTCTAACACATCCAACACAATTAAACTCCAACCACTACGATCATGTCAGGAAAGGGGAAATTTACGGCATGCATCTGCTGTCCAGGTGCAAGAGACAAGAGTTAGAAGACCGACTGTGCCCCTTAAAATCCCCTTGCAGTCACAGCACCGATCCTCTGCTTCAGGACAACAATGTCGACCCATAATAGCTGGTAAGTTGTTTGACAACGCCTCAATTTACCAGATTAAAAACCGGCTCCATTCCAAAATTTTCTGTATGAAACGTAACAAGGATACTGTCGTAAATAACTGACACTGTCGATGGTATCCTTGGTCTCCTTTCAATCTGGATTAAGATAGCTCCATATGTTGCAAGTCTACCGGATGAGATAATTGGTACTAATTCTATGAAATGGCGTCAAGTAGGTTGAATCTGCACTTCCCACGCAACTCCGTGATCAGTTGATTGAAGGATTATTAAACAGGTCCATAGTGTATCTGGAAACGTCGCCTCTCACCGATAATTGACTCGGTCAGACGTAGCTGCGACAGCATAATAAAGACTATGTTGTGCTGTGACACGGTAAAAATATGTGAAGTTTTAAAGGGCTAATGTACAGAGAAATCTATGATGTTTGAAATATGTCTGATAAGCATGTAAAAATTACCAAGGTTGAGGCGTATACGCGTACTAACATAAAAAATTGAGATAAACCTTCCTGCAACCCATCCCCAAGTATTTTTACCTCTGATTTTTTTTTAAATGATCACGATTCTGTGAAACTTTAAAAAACGAAGCTTAGGCGGTGTTTACGTTTTTCGCTTTTGGACTTTTTCTCTCTGTCGCCACTGGGCCGGTTTTCAAAACTACAATGCTACATCCTACTTCTCAATTTATAGGCGGTTATAAAATTAGCGGACAGACAGGCGATTAATAAACCAATTTCCATTTTTTTTTCTGGCCAGTTTTGGCATGGGAAGTAAAAAGAAGCTTTACTCCAATATTTGTGCTAATAGGTGTACTTCTCAAGATTATGTTTCGCTTTTACACATGTCTATAGGTTATTTCTAGGATTCTGTTAAATAGTTCATTACCTATTCACGTTCCCCAATCTGTAGCTAGTATTGTCTAACATGGACTGTGTAGTGTCAAATGCCATGGGTTAAAAAACAGAGTAATTAATAGAAAAAGGAGCCACAGCAATTTGAGGCAAATAGTGTATTACTGAGACCTCCTGGTAAACCAACATGTGGCTAATCCCAGATAGCAAACATTTTATAATAATTACTCAGTATCCAGTATAACTGAAATAGAGAGGGATGATTATTTTCATTGTATGTCAAATCCCCATAGATGCTGACCACATTTTGTTAACTTTTAGTTGATTTGATTGGTTTTTGTTTACCCACATGATTGTTCTCTCTATATTGCAGACTGAACCTCCAGAGCATTATAATAATAAATGCTTTGAAAAATACGTAGAGTAAATACACAATTTCCCATGTTGTGTACATTCGCATGTCACATATTTTTTATTAGGTATAACTGAAACTTTTATCAGTATCAAGTACGTTAAGCAATTTATGCTTAAATCAATGTAGCGTGTTGCATTTTTGGTACATCACAGATCACTCATGGCATGATTTGTCACAAAAATTTGTCATCGGTCACACAGAGATCTTTCCTCTGACTAGTCACCAGACACGACCAGACCAGGAGTGCTGCTCACATATCCGTGGACCTGCGCTCCCAACTACATTGTCTATACTTGATGCAGTTCAGAGGAAAGACTATCCGACTTGGCCATAATATTTTACTGTTAGATGGTGTTAAAAGCTCTGCCTTTTATTCAAGAGAAGTAGGTCTCGAGTGTAGCTGAATGTAAAATACATTTATTCTTGCTAATTTAACCTTGATACCGGTATCAAAGTTGGAACAGCTCAATTGAATTTCGTACAAACAATAAAGTTGGTTTGATAACCATGTTTATATGACTATAATTAGAAAAAGACAGAATATATAAATTTTCATTAGACCTAGGCAGTTCATTACAAAACTTATTAGCAAAACAGTAACACTCAATTCGTAGCTTGTGTACGATTTCCTCTAGAGTAAGTAAATATTATTTCCCAATAACTGATCATTACTGTTTACCTTTTCTACACAAATATTGCTGTCTTGTCTTGAAGTAGCTAAATGTTCATATTTTTTATTTTAGATATTTATGCAAGAACATTCAGTATTTTTCAGAACTAGACTTCTTTATATCATTTTAACTAAGTCCTTACAAAAAAGGACGACGGTGTGTCGTAACTTCGTGTCGTCATTATGTACTATTAAGTGTATCGTCAGGATGATTTCAACCGGTTTTGTTTTATATAGGTAAACACTATCGGCCTGCCTTCAAACTCATGCATATGCAATTTATACCAGCCCTGCTATGCATTAAAATGTAAAATATGCCTATATTGTGCCAGGAAATATTACAACTTTTTTTGCGTCTTAACTCCAATTACGCTATCCTGTTGCAACTAAACCATTCAAATTGGGCGCATTGTGTCTTGAAACTTGACCAGTATTCAGAAACATGATATTTACAACCAATATTATGTGCCAATTATGTTAATTCAAGGTGGGCTGTAATGGAGACGTGCAATGGAGATGGGTAATACAAACGGATGGTAAAAGGAAGGCAGTCGCGCATGATGTCAGAACAGAAGGAAGTTCTTACTTGAGCACTTGAAGAATAAATAAATTAGGCGGAACGGCTTACAGTTCAGCGCCCGTATTGTTTCGATTCCCGTGCAAGCGCCAATGACAGCAGTAAATTGATTCGCGCTGGCGGTAAAAGTAGGCGCACTCCTCCGATCCAGTTTCTCGGCGAAAGCATACATTTGTGGCGTTTATTTTATTAAGGGTTAGCAGAAATTTTGGTGGCAGTGCTAATAATACTTGGAATATTGCTTATACGTTCTTTGTACCATATGTGAATTTAGTGTAGCTTTTGCGTCCTAAAGTAGTATTAACGTAGACTCACTGATCCAACCAACCTTCCCCCAGATGTTCAGAGCAAAAGGCAATAAATGGTATCCGTGAAGGATCTCTTTTATTTTTCCATTTTTTCCCGTTGCTCTACCGCCACTAGATGAATTTTCAAAATTTATGAAGCTTTTTGTCCTTGGCATAGAAATAACCCTTTGCTAAAGGTCACCAAAATCGGAGCGGCACTTTCCAAGTTAAAGATGGGACCGAGGATGAGCGAACAGTCCGACTGACGTACATTTATGTAACATCCAAATGACATGATATCTCATTTTCACAATTTTCGAAATTTTGGCCAATTAACTTTGGAAGTAGAGTGAACAGGTTATGACAGATCGCGAATATTTTTTCACGAAACATATAACATGCCTTATAAAAAAATATGTTTTCATAAAAACAAAGCATGTCCGTTCAATAAAAATCGATGTAGTCTGATTCTATTAGAAGAAAATTTGCGAAATAATTGTTAAGTCTGGTTTTATTTTGATGAAAGTTGTTCAAGGGGGAATTTAAACATGGACGCATAAAATGGTTTCACCATTTTTTGTGGGAAACTTTTTATTCGACAACAAAGAATGATAAAACGTGTTTTTTGGGATTCAATCGAAAGTGTAGTCAGAAACGAAAAAACTCTTCAAATACGATTTTTAGGTATTTATGAGACCTACAGAATGAGACCACATGTAATAAGATCCCACTAATTGAAAAAATTATGCTCTAAAACCGAGGCAGAATGCAGATTTTGGAACTTGTTGCTAATGCGACGATAATTTCATGCAGCTGCTTGAAATTCTTCAGATCTGAAGGCTTCTTACTTCTAAATAACCACAACAAATTGGAGTCGATTGGTCAAGTAGTTTTTCAGAATTTCTAATTGTTTATCCCAAAACACCTGTCTTCCGGCCACCTCTACTAGCTTATTGAGCAATATACAGGGCTCGTTCAAATGGCATTTTATAGCAAAAGACCGACATGAATCACAAGCCATTCCGGAAGTTAATTGTTATTTTTAAGCAAAAAACGAAGGACTCCTTTTTTTTTTCGTAAACAAATTCAAACATTTCGTATTTGTAAGTAACTGGACAGATTTGCTACGATATTCGAGATTTGTGAAGAAGAACTTACAAATACGAAATGTTTGAATTTGTTTGGAAGAAAAAACCTAACCCTTCGTTTTTCGCATAAAAATAACTATTATCTTTCGGAATGACTTGTGTTTTCTGCTCAATAAACTGGTAGTGATGGCCGGAAGACAGGTGTTTTGGGATAAACAATTAGAAATTCTCCAAAACTACTTGACCAATCGACTCCAATTTTGTTGTGGTTATTTAGAAGTAAGAAGCCTTCAGATTTGAAAAATGTCAAGTAGCTGCGTGAAATTATCGTCGCATTAGCAACAAGTGACAAAATCTGCATTTTGCCTCGGTTTTCGGCCATAACTTTCTACTATTATTCAGATCTTATTACGTGTGGTCTCATTCTGTCTCATTCATACTTAAATTATTATTTGAAGAGCTTTCTTGTTGCTGTCAACACTTTCGATTGAATCCCAAAAAAACACGTCTTCTCATTCTTTGTTATCGAATAAAAAGTTTTCCCACAAAAATTAGTGTACCCATTTTATGCGTCCATGTTTTAAATACCCCTTGAGCGACTTGCGTCACTTTACGGTTATCTCGGGGAGATTTGCTAATATGATTAGATTAATGGGGGCACACACTACAACGTTTTTTCCAAACAACTTTCAAGGACGCCCTTGCATTTCGCCCTACCCCTGCACAAGAAATTCGCTTATAATACAGGGTGGTCCATAAGTCCTTTGAAATTTCAAATTTGAATAAAATTTAACGGGTGAGCGTGAGCGGCGCGGGCGAGGTGGGGGCAGTATCTTCAGTGTCTGGGAATTCAGCCATGGAGTGTTTCACTGGAGCGGATCGTGCTTTTTGTGTGCGCGCGTTTTATCAAAATAATGATTCGGCAACCATTGCGCGGCGTAAATATCGAGAATACCACAATTTACACAATTTTACAAAGTGTCCAACAGCTCAAACGATTAAGAACTGGGTTGATAAGTTCGAAGAGACTGGTTCGACGTTAGATAAACAGCGGTGGGGTCGACCAAGGACAACTCGTATTGAAGAAAACACCAACATTGTGGCACAGTCTGTTCGCCAAAATCCTACCCAGTCTACTCGTAAGCGTTCCAGTGCACTAAACGTACCCAGAACATCTTTACGCTGATTTTAAGGAAAGATTTACGTCTGCACGCTTACAAAATTCAGTTAGTGCAGGAATTAAAAGATAATGACGCTATTCAGAGACTAAACTTTGCGAATGAAATGTTGAATCGATTTTCTTCGCTCAATAATGTGTTGTTCTCGGACGAGGCTCACTTCCATTTAAACGGGCATGTAAATAAACAAAATTGCCGTTATTGGAGCCCCGAAAATCCAAGGCGTAAGCATCAGAAGCCCTTACACAGCCCTAAAGTTACAGTTTGGGCTGCTATGTCAGCGCATGGCATCGTAGGCCCTTATTTTTTGAGGACGACAGAGGTCGCGCATTAACTGTTACTTCGGCGCGGTATGTAGCAATGATAGAAGAGTTTTTGACACCAGCGTTGCAGAATTTTCCAGGCTATAATACGCAGCCCTGGTTTCAACAGGACGGAGCAACTGCCCACACCTCCAACACTTCTATGCCCGTCGTCTGTCAACTTTTACCCAGCAAAGTAATTTCTCGAAGAGGAGACATTTCCTGGCCACCACGTAGTCCAGATTTGACCCCAGTGGACTTCTTTTTATGGGGCTACCTCAAGAGTAAAGTGTACGACACCACTCCGCGATCAGTTTATGTCCTGAAAGAAAATATCCGAGAGAGAAATGGCAAGCATTACAGTGTTGACTTGCCGCGCAGTCATCGACAATTTAGACGTCGTTTAGATGAGTGCCGTGATCGTAATGGATTGCATTTAGACGATGTGATTTTTAAAACAAAATTCCCATTCAATAAAGATGATAAATATATAATTCTTCATAATGTAACTAGTTGGTTTTATTCCTTTTTTCCAGCTCAAAGGACTTATGGGCCACCCTGTATAAGCTCTCCTGAAATAATATGGAACAATTTTACTGGACAGTACGTCAATGATGGCAATTTTATTTGGTTTCTAGACTTTTATTAAAAAGTTGGAAGAATAGAATAGAAGTAAGTTGCGAGAAAAGAAATAAATTACAAGGTAGCTGTTAACTAAGCGGCAGTACAGTAATGAGCTGCAAAAGAATATAATTCCAAACAAAACTTCTAGCGAAATTTAATACAGTTTCCGGGGAACAATCAATAGTTCAGACAAAGTTTTCAACCAAGCAGCGCAATGCGCAGGACCCAGCAGGGCATCCAATACTGTAGGGATGGTTGGGATACTAGAATGTCCCTAGTTACCTCACACAAGTATTGTGATCGTGAAAAAAAGTCAGAATTGAAAATAACTAACAAGCTTCCTTAACACGTATTTCGTATTGTATCTGTGGGGGTTGCAATATGTAGTAAATACAGTTACATGTTTAAAATCAATAATCACTACCGTCTCTCTCTGGTACTTTGAATTTCGAAACATTCTAAGCGACGTTTTGTCGATTACGTGAATATGTAACTTTGGCCTCATTTAAGCGACTTCGTACCTCATACATTTTCGGATATACCAATGATGATGATCGGATTTGAAACATCCTATATATTGACGACAATGGATATTTTGGGCTCACACCAGGAGAAATAAGCACCATTGAATACATGTTTTCGAATAGATGCAAGTATCTTTTATACTTGGCATCCAGATGATATACCAAAATGGCGTCAAGTAGCTTGATACTGTAATTTCTACGCAATTCTGGATTCTGAATATGCGGCATGTCCTTGTACCTTGACATAATACCGTAAAGTGGAATCAGTATAGGTGAAAAACAATATTGCTGATTTCGGAAAATTGAAATTACGGACTTTCATATGCTATGATATCTTCACTATTCGCTGGCCAGGAACCCTAACAGCTGTTGATGTTGCTGTTAGGGTTCTATTATGCGAAATGTCTGATATTGTAACTAACAGGTGGGTAACACGAGCCTGAACACACATTTCTCAACAAAAAACGTCTTTCACTGATACCAAAGATGCCACTTTAACAACCCTCTACCACCTATAACCCATAGTCACCAATTTTTAACTCATACAAAAGAGTTTAAACAACCGATCACGCGCTTCCGAAATGAGAGAGAAATGAGAAAAAGCTTAAACATTTTCTTGTCTTTTTCTACGCTAGCTATCCCGCCGCTGGACTGATCTTCAAAAACTCCAAATCTTTTTGGTCCTTGGTATATTAGTAGCCTTGTGTCATCATTTCATTAGAAAACATAGACACCCACGGCAATGAGTAACGTGGCTTTCCGTGATGTGCATGTCACGAAACATCCATGGAAGTGGAACGTCAACCGCAATAAGTATGCTTAAAACAATTCCATGGAATTTGAAAGTGTTGATTAAAGGTTATTTAAGACAAGCGGATTCCAAGCAGTGTTCTTTTAGGGATTGTAAAGAAGCCCAGTATAGCGATTTTTTATTGGAACTTGTGGCATTATTTAGAAATTACCATCTTATTCTGTGACCCCTGTATAATTATAGAGATATTTCTATATTGTATTACATCTAAGTTTAATTCCATTGAAAGATTATTCGACATGGAGATGTCAAAACCTGTTTTTGGGTGACTTTATGGGGGTGCAACCTACAAAGAAAAAACTAGACAAAGC